TAAGGATGTTTACGTGACTTTGTGTGTCTGTGTGTGTGTTTGTGTGTGTAAGAGTATGTCTGTTACGAAATTCGCAGAGCGTGTTCCAGCCAACCTCCTGGGCTCAAATTTTGCACAGCGCATGCTACCCGCATGAAAGTCCAACACGCAAAAGCACGAGCAGATTCGTTAAGTGGATCCCCCAAAAACTGCGCGCCAAACGAATCCACTTTGCATTTGAGCCGCAAAATTGGGTCCGTAATTCCACTTTTTGCAGAGTCGTGGATGTTTATGCCATGTAAATGTGCAAGTCATGAACTTAGGCCCAAAAAAGTGATCAAAAGTCCATTACTTTAGAAAAACGGCGCCGAAAAGTATTGGTTGCGTAAATGGTCATTTTGCCAAGCTTTTACCAGAACATTTGACGAAATTTTTGCACAAAGATGTAGCTCACGGTGGCTGCTGTTCTTACTGCAACTGTCAAGAACATGGGAAATCAAAAACCTATAAAAATTTGCGTTTGTTCTCCTGCAAAAAGTCTCACCCACGCGAAATCACTGATTTCACATAGAAAAGCTTTTGGAATGAGTAGTTGTTTACATTTTGTCCTGATAGTCGGCAATGCTCGGTGAGTTCCATTGCCACCATGATGCGAGAACAAGTAGGGGCTAGATAGTAGAGCGAGCCAGTGCGAGCCTCTGCGAAGCAGACGTGACGCACTGGTCCTCTATATTGTGCTTGACCAGCCACTCAATATTGAACAATATTGCTTTCTCATTATCTATTTGAAATCAAATAAAGGTTGAATATGTCAACTTCTAATTGGTTTAATCATACCAAGTACAATACTTGCAAAATGACAACCATTTGTTTTTGTGATTCCATCTACGTTAGCGCATATATAGTACAGTACATATATAACCAAAGTCTTTCAGCGGCTCTGTCCTCTAGCATCGTATAATCTGCAGAAGCATTTCAATAGACTTCAAACAGAATATGCTTTGAAAGTCACAATAGAAGCTGACGAGGAAATCTGGAATGTCAAAGTTGTCAAGCAGAATTTTTTTTTCAAAGCGTGTACCATCTTACTGACAATCCTTCTATATATAAAGCTGAATGTCAGTTTGTCTGTCTGTATGTACGTCTGTATGTTTGTCTGTACGTATTTTCCAAATAGAAAATTCATTTCTGAACCGATCCGGACCAAACTTGGCACACATACACTTCGGGCCCCGGCGGGTGTCATAGGCTACTTTTCGTCATCGATCGATATCGATTTTATCGATTTTTATCGATTTTTTGCAGAGTTTACCTACGGGGCTGGGGGTTGGCGCAGGGGGGTAATCGAGCATGGGAATTCCGAATACAATATTAGTTTTCGGGATTATCGATTACTTTTATCGATTTTATAGATTTTTTTTGCAAAGTTTGAGCTATGGGGCTCGAATTTGGCACAGGGGGGTAATCGAGCATGCTGATTATGAGTTCGATATTAGTTTGGCGCTATTCGGCTATCCGGGCCCCAAAATTTTTTTGTGGTAGAGCTTGCTCAAACTTCGTGTATAAGGGTTATCTTAAGAGTCGGGCATACTTCAAGCGATTTCAATGGCCACGTGATTTGGCAATATTCCAGGTGTCCATAACTCATTGTAAGCACATTATAAACGTACAGAAGATAGGGCATTTCATCAGTTTACGTAAGTTATACACACTATGCATGTGCAGTTTGCTAATGTTGGATCCGAAGACTTCTGGCGAATTGCCAAATCGCGCCGCGACTGAATTCGCGTGAAGTATGCCCGGCCCTTTACATGCTGATTACAAATATCACTCTTTCTCCGCAGAACGTCTTTTCGTGTGGTTACGATAGGTGTACGGTAAGAAGCCAAAATCATGAATTCGGCTTGAGTTCGGTCCATATGGCTTATTCGACGTGCTAATTACGAATATCATCTTTCTCTCTCTGCATATTGGGACCTTTTCATAGAGTTGTGGTGGGTATGCGATATGGGGTCGAAACATAGATTTGCTTTATGTCTAGGGTGGTCATTTAGCGCACTGAACATGAATATCATGCTGATTTCGCAGGATAGTGCATTTTCTTGGGTTACGGTGGGTGTAGATGGGTCGAAGTTCCAGATTTGCTCAAAACCTTACCTGTAAATTAGTATTAAGTATATCGTAAGTAAGTATATCGCTTATGAATATGATGCTTGCTCGCTGTCATAACGCTAGTGAAGTTATGGTGAGTTGCAGGGTTTGAACGGACATTTTTTCACTTTCGGGCCAATTTAGATTCCAGATATTCAAGAGATGAGAAAACGGTCGTTTTGCACGGCGGTCTCCAGCGCCATCCTGATAACCTGTCCCAACGCGTAACGCACGCGGCAAATCTCCCTCCCCTGTTTTTGCTTAGGCAAAAGCCGCCGAAGGGTGTCTCGCGCGGCAGTGGTCCTATAAGGAAATTGATAACCTGTCCCAATGCGTAACGCACGCGGCAAATCTCCCTCCCCCTGTTTTTGCTTAGGCAAAAGCCGCCGAAGGGTGTCTCGCGCCGGCAGTGGTCCTATAAGGAAAAGCATTACGGTCGTAAACTTTTATACCACACGAATTGCCTTTATCGTGGGGACTGAGCACGATATTCTTGAAACAGCACTTTAGGTAATTTTCTGCCATGGTTTCAGGCAGGTTCATAATTTTTACCCGCTGCCATGTACCTACCGTAACTCTGCGAAAAGGTCTAAACGCGACGAGAGTGTTTCAGACGTGGTCAGAAGGTTGAATCTCTCTAGACCGAGTTTCAGCCAAAACTGGGATTTCGCCCCTCTGCAGTATATCTACTATAACTCAGTGAAATCGCCTCAAAATGCCGAAGGAGTATGATATTCGTAATCAGCATGTCAATTAGCCCCCCTCAAAGTTTAATGAAATCCATGATTTTAGCTTCTTACGTATACCCAACGTAAACCGAGAAAATGGCGCTATATCGCGCGAAATGACTACGATATTCGTCATCAGCGGCTTTAGTAATCCCCATGTACCGACTTTGAGCAAGATCCATCACAAAAACATTTCGGGGACGGATAGCCGAATAGCGCCATTACTTTTCAGAATTATCCTTACTTTTACCGGTTTATTGCTTTTTTTGCAAAGTTTGAGCTACGGGGCTGGGGGTTGATGAGGGAGGTAGGTGGGATGCTAATTATTAACACAGCGGGAATAGGGAATTGCATGTAGAAGTGGGCACAATGAAAGGTTCTACAGGGATAGGGATAAAACCTTAATCATAGCATTGACAGGGCCGGGCGGTGCCGGGTAAGCCAGCTAGTTTCTAATGTAAAGTAGTCGAAAAATTGTAATTTGATGACTTGCACAAAGAATTCTGCAATACACTTTTATTCCTACAGTACTTGCATGACATAAAACTGCAATAAACTCTTGACTGTAGTTGTTTACTTAAATTGCCTTTAAAATCCAGTATGGTTGGCGCATTGTATAATTAAGGAGAGATTTGAGATTTTGTCTAAGTACGCTACTTATGATATCAAAAGAAATCAAATTTTTATACATTTTCGATGCCTGAGAGGAACAAGTTACTCTAATAACTCCGCTTTTAGAGGAAGCTACCATAACGTGCAGTACACTTATAGATAGCAAAAACGATCTACTGCAGATTTTTGTTTGCGGAAACTCGTATCAAGCTTATTCAGAGAGTGTTCTTATATCGCTGACTAAAACTCATTTTTGCTGCTATAAGTGAAATTCTCCTACCCCTTCTCTGGTGACTAGGATAATAATGTAACATCTCTAATTATGCAAACGGGATTTGGTCAAAATTGTTTTGTAAGTGGGTTGCGAACATAGGCGCAACTGCTGAACAGCATACAATGCCCGTCCGTGACTTGTGAAAAATGACTGCGGCGACCACCTGTTCGCCGAACTTTGCTTCCCATATCTTGCTTCTCAGTGGACCAATTCTAAAGTCGAGAATTTCGAATCCAAGAACACGTTCGACTCAGCTCGATTTGAGGCCTACAGCACCCAAAGATGTGCATCTATATATCAGAAGAAGCGCTCATCGAGCTGAGTAGTGGAGCAAGATATGGTGATACGACGCGACGTTCGGCGAACTCTGCCGGTAGCCGTGGTTATTTTTCACGACTTAGGAGCGGTATTGTAGCAAGACTCTACAGTAAAAGCACAACTCATTTACTCTCTTTTTCGTTCTAATGAACAAATACAGATTCAGTTTAAATTTGTAGAGTTCAAGCAAACGAAAATACCCAAATAATAGAGGCAATGATTCATGTCTGTTCAGTACATTTATGTCGGCCATCTTCTATTTGGCTTACAGTTTTCGTTTACATGTTCAGATACAACACCTTCATTTACTACAGGCATGTACAAGAATGAAATCGTTTCTAAACTAAATTTTTTTTACTTTCTAAAAATTCTAAATGAGGTTGAATATGCAAGTGTGGTAAACGTTAGGCCCCGGGCAGACTTCACGCGATTTGATCCTCGCGACTGAATCGCGACGAGACAACTGTTACAACATCATTCCATGCCGATCAACTTGCGTTCGGTCGTGATACTTTTCCAACCCGAAACTTTTGAATGTGAAATGAAAATGAATGGAAATCTTGGCAATTAGATCGCGACAATTAACTCGCGTAAAGTCTGCCCGGGGTCTTAAAGTTGAATACAGTAATCAAGGACAGTGCAGATGTTTGATTGTTTAGTTCGCGGCGAGAGAGCAATGAAATATTGAAACTCAGGCAAATTGTTAAGAGAGTAAAGTATAGTTTGTTCATTTGGCCTACGCTATAGAACATGCTGCATAAACAAAGAAGATTTATAACAACGTTCCGACTCTTTGTATACAATTTAACTGTTGCCTGAAAATTGGCATTAGTCAACGGAATTCAAATCTCCTGCAAGATTTATGAAGTCATTAGCTCTTACAACATTGTGCTGCGCCTTTATTTTTGGCACTGTCCAAGCCATCAGCTATCGTCCTCATGCTTGTACGTTTTATTGGAACATACTCCATAATACCATCCAACAATCTCTTCTTTTCAGATATACCCAAAAAGGAAGGAAATGTGGATGAGGTGAGAGCGAAAGACAGTTAAAGCAATAGGTCATCCTATTATTTGCGCTTATAAGGTAACCATTTAATCGAAGTGGCCTTAGATGGGGCGTATATCGTAATGGAGAGCATAGATTGCTGATTCCATCTGCCTTCCTTACCTGCGAATGTCTGTGGACGAGGAGTTATGACGCTTATTGAAGCAAAAAAGAGAAGTGCATCTAATAAGGGAACGATACCAACATTAGTTAGAGACGAGATGTACACCACTAGACGCGTCTTTGAACGCTGATTTTGGAAAACGGCTTTTATATTTTGCAGAGCAACTTTCATGAAGAAGTTTTGAGCGTTTGAATCTTCAAATTCTCCAGTTTTAAGTGACATACAAAAATATACAAAAGTGGCTAATCAATTTTGTTCGAATATATTGTTTGGAGAGAAACAAAACTGGTGAAAATCTGCATTTGGTGATATACTACATATAAATATAAATATGTCACAATCCCATACAAATAAGATATATATATCATACGAATAAGATAGGATAATATAATGTCATATAATTTTATATAATGTCATATAGATACCTAAATACCATCTGCATTCGCCAACTTATGTTGGCATCCTTTCCTGTGCGATAAAATGGGTTGCTTGAATCTGCCCTTGAATAAAGCAACCAAGTGTGGTACCTTTTTATCTGAGAGTGTTTATTGATCAAGGGCTCCGCTGATCATCACTGCTCCATCAAAGCGCTGGAAAAATACGACAATCGTCCTATAATCCTGGTCCATGAACGTCTAACGGATAAGAAATTTTGACTTGGAATCAATGTTTTATGCCCTCTAATATTTTAAAGGCCATCTAAAAAGGCCATTTTGACTAAATATGCTTCTTGTCTTAGCAATGATGTCAACTGTATCCTTTAACATTTTCTTCATAAATGGATCCAACAATCCCTTAGAGCTCTAACATCACGGTTTGCCTCTACTTCTACTTGTTGAATCTCATACTGAGACTGGCTAACGGTCACGGCAACCATTTCTAACAACTCGGATTATTCAACAAAGACTTGTTTGCTAACGAATCAACATTGAAACCTCTATTAAAACACACCGATACTTTGGGAATAACATTGAGCGTCGAATTTCAAGTTTTTTTGCACCAAGGATGTAATCATTTTCATCTGCCTAGTATAATATTTTTAGGAGAATATTCAAGGGAAGAAGAATGGGAAAGTCTTGGCAAGTTTTGAAAGATACATGTGAACTTCTGAACAAGTCCTAGGTGTTTTCCAAAAAATGCTTGTATTCAGATTGGTGAGAACGAAGACTTGTTTTCACTCGATTTTGAGAAACAAGTGAGTTTTTATATGCTATACGCTTGAGCTATACATACTTTCACAAAGCTACCGAAAAGTGGTTCTAAGTCGAAAATAAAGTGAAGCTTTAAATTTAATGTTTCAGATCGAGGAGTACGAGAAAGCACTTGAGCTTGGGCTAGAGACTGTACGTAAATATTGACAAAATTCACGTGAATCATACCGAATTTATTAGTGTTGCGTCATACTGTTTTCTGTTATTCATCGAAACTGACATACTTTGCATTTAGCCATATGACAGCGAAGAAGACGACTATTATGATGAGTATTGGAATGGGGAAGATTTAGTTGGATTGGGGGTAATTGCCTTTTTAACGATTTCGCAGCAATGCGAGTTGAAAGACTACTCGATATCAAATTTTACATTTAGGGTACTTCTGACACAAATGTCGCCGTTGCTAAGAAGGCTTTCAAGGTGAGAAAGAAAAGGTTTCGACAAGCTTTATGAGCAACTACATGCATAACTTGTACAATTATCCTTTGTGAATAGGGAGGAAGTGGAGGTGCAACAAAGAGTGAATATCAGGAAATCGGGTGCTTTTTTAGAATGAAATGCATTTCTTTAAATAATGGCAATCACTTCACATGTAGTGCTTATACTGAATCGTATCAGGCTCATATCTGAATAACGCTGTCGAGAAGAAAATCTAGAGAATCAAGCGCGGATATTTGAATTTTCGTCTCAAGAACGCACCTTACTCAACAACTCGCTCTCTAGCTTTTATGGATGTTATCCTCGAAATATTGATATGGATTGTAAAGCAGAAAAATCATTGAGAAACTCCTGTTCTGCTGCAGTCTGCAACTCAGTGACGCCGATGCAAAAAGCAAGTCGATTAATAATCAACAGTCTTGTTATACAATATACCACTCACATTTGAAAAAAAAAAAAGACGCAAATTCCGCATCATGTATGAACATCAGCGTCGCGTGGCCATATCTCGCTTCAGAGTGGACGAATTCTGCATCTGAAGCCAACATTCGACTCAGCTCGGCGCGGCGCATCTCTGATGTAAAAAAGTGTCCACTTGGACACAGTAGGAGGTCAGATTCCATCAGTCGTTCCAGATTTTTGCTTGCGGTAGGCTACTCAGTGTACCTGTGCTTGCTCAGTGTACTAGCAAACATCTGAAACGATTCATGGAATCTGTCCTACTACTGTGTCTAAGGGGACACTTCTTTAATCAGAAAATGCGCCGCGCCGAGCTGAGTCGAATGGTGGCTTTAGATGCAGGATTCGTCCACTCTGAAGCGAGATATGGTCACGCGACGCTGATGTTCATACATACAGCGACATTCGCGTCTTTTTTTAGAAAATTTGAGCGGTTTTGTAAGCCATCATTTACGATATCTGATCAAGATGTCGCTATACTATTCAGAACATTGTTGCACATGATCTATTGCGTCATCTACTGAAAAGACTCAGATTTGGAAATCCAGAAGAAAAAGCTAAAAAGAGATTATGGAGTCATGTGCAAAAACTCAACAAGCTAAAGGAATTAAAGGTGTGATCGTACTCGTGTACGTCTGTTTACATTATCTACTGCTCTGCTCATGCTACAGGCAAACGAAATGATGGATAACGGAAATCATGGAAAAATGCGGGCTGTCAAAGGTGAGTCTCCATACCAAGCTGCGTATGGGAAGTGGTGACTGGAATAAAACCGCACTAAAATATTTTTTCGCCACGTACTTTAACCATTCTCAGTGAATTATCTTGTTTTCTATATATTACTACACTGTTTTACAGTTATCTGAAGAGGCATGTTCACCTTGACGCATTTTCGCGGAATAAAAACATTATACTTGATTTGTTGTCCTGCAACGCAGTTTCTTCCAAGAACTATATGAAATGCATGATGGAGTGCACATTTGCAAATAATGCTTCAAATTTCATTGGGACCCTTTCTTCAGCAAATAATGCTGTCAGACTGCAGCGTAAATCACTTAATCCTATGTTCATAATTCCACATTCACCGACGTGTTCCATCAGTCATGGAAAATCTAGCTAAAATTGGATGAATATGACAACATCTAAAAAACTATTTGCACCGCTGCGAAAGTTTAGAATTGGAGTTTTTTGTAAATTTTTTGTAGGCACTTAGATAGATCAACGTTTAACTAAATACCATTTGGCAGTGTGATATCAGCAACTGAGATAACCTTATAAATCACCCGAAATTCGCCTTGCTTCATTGAAAAGGTATATGAGTGCGGTTATTGAAATCGAGCGGTCATAAGAGCTGTGTCATTTACTCTCTTAATGTTAGACGAAGATGAAGTATGTTTGTGCAGTAAATGTTAGAAACAATTTCAGTGAGCTTCCAATCTACTTAATGTGCCGTCGAGGTTTTTGTACTTGTCAGAGTCAAAAATAGTATGTGCTCAAGAATTCATTCTTTAGTGAGCGTCCAAACCGCGCCGGTTGCCGCTCCTACAGCCGAAGCGCACCGGATTAGATTCTGTTTGGGGGGCACGTAGTTTGGACTTACTCGCACTAACGAAATACTTCCAGGGTTTTCTGAATCTTTTGTCGCTATTGTTTTGTTTTGAAGGTTCCCTCCTATGTTGTGCCACATATTTCTGCTGCTAATATGGTTTAATTGATCTTGCTTACATTTTTTTCCTGTTTCACTATTCTGGAGTGATGGATCATTGTGGAAGAGATACTTCTGTTCTTGCTGCAAAGTTCGTTTATGTTAGAAAATGAGCAAACTATTGACAAATGAAAATTTTCATTTCATTTCTCCTACTAGTCGCTTGCCTTGTTTCTTTTAAAACGTGATTTTTCATCCTCAACTCATTTTGAAGGACGACATAAATTCAAAACGACATTTTCTTTGTAGTTCCTTGCTTTTTGAAGCGGTTCCGCTGGGGTCTTGGAGCGATATCGTTGTACGATTTTGCTGTACCACTTTTGCTTTTGGTTCTTCTTTGCTATGCGCGATCCGCAAAGAATTGTTCACCTCAAACTAGCAAATTAGTTTGAAAACTCCAAGTAGTTAATCGAAACTCCAATCTGCAAGAAGTTTCGTCATATTAGTAGAGTAGGTTTTAAATCAGAAAGAGTAGAAATCATCATCGCTGCGGAGTAGTAGAGAGCCTCAAGAAGGGAAAGGCATCAAAAGATCCGCTTCTCAATCATATCTTATCGTTCACCCCAGCAAAGCAATAGCGTCAAAGCGAAAGCTGAAGCTGACTGAAGCGAAACAGAACATCATGTGAGACCAGCAAGTATCCCATTAGTGAGAATAATTCCCCACTAAGTGCTTCACGGACAAAATCTGGCCCGGTCCGCTTCGGTAGCGGAAGCGGCGACCGGTGAAAAAGCAGCTAGCGGCCGCGATAGCGGCACGTGGCCCGGAGGCTCCCTTAGCCAAGAATCAGCATGAATTAGATAGGGTAAACAAAATCAGGTTTACCATAATTTGTAATTGTTGAAGAGACGTGACTTTGACTTCCATAACAATTTTGGTACCTTCTCCATAGTAGAGAGCGGAATCGTCCTCATGCTTTTATTATAGAGTGCTGTCACTTTTACATATTTTGCAATAACACTCGACCTCTAATGCCTGCCACTAACCTCCACCCCCTTCGCATGCACTAACATCCTCGCCGGGAGGGGATCGCATCTTGAAAGAAAGCTTTATATCCTGAAGCTCCAGATATCTGGATTTCACGCTGTCTACCTATCAGTAAGTATTCCCGTCGTCTTCCACTATGAACATATTGAACAGAAGCGAAAAGCTACACAAGCCGCATTTTCCAACTTTTTGTATGATCCCCGGGTGACGACCGTTTACTATTTGAAGTCAATTTTCTTTTTAAAGTTAATGAAAACATTCCAAAGTTGTAAAGCTCATCCAAAATAGTTCTACGCATGTTGCTGATGCTGGGAAAATGTGGTTTGTACAGCTTCTCGCTCATGTCCATAGTGAAGGATGGTGGGAATTTCACTGATAGGTAGGCAGCGTGAAATTCAGATATCCGGAACTTTAGGATATCAAGTTTTCTTTTGAGCTGCGATCCCCTCCCTCATGGGGATGTTAATGCATGCTGTCCTTAAGGTTTTATGTACAAAGGCATAATCAAAAGACAAGACAGGTGCTAATAAAAAACTAAAAACCAAAATGCTAAATATTCATAGGCACGCAAAATCTGGAAATCACATGTCTTACTTTTGCTGAAATATTGGTTTGTTCAAAAGCACATGCAATGACCGTAACGAATCTGGCCTATCTGCGTACAGAAAAAAAGCAGGACATACTGAAATAATTACTTGCACAGGGCGACCTTCTCTGAAAACTTAGTGTTAGAGGCAATGTCCAGGCAAGTTTCGGTAAATTTTTGAGCGCATGTTCTGCCTACGCTGCCAATTTTCACAAATGCCTCAAATTCATGTAGATGGGATTTCATCAAGTAGAAAAATTAGATGTGCGTATGTGGTACATCTGATCGTAAGATGTCCATAGACTTTCAATAACGCACGAATAGACCTTGCTTTTGCTTTGGAAGTGCAGCTACCATTATATACGGTAGCTACCTACGCTAGGTATGCGACAGGTAGAGGAAGGATTTTTATTTGCATGATCTGTAAAGGGATTGCCGCTTATGACTAGAAATGATCGATCACTGCTTGCGGTATGGACACGTCCATAATGATTACTCTATGAAATTCTCCAATAGATCCGAGTAAATAGCTAGCTAGCTATCCCTACAACATCCAGGCGCTCCATTTACCAAATTAATGTGTTCTGACTACCTCAACATTGATGCCTTTAAGCATAACATACAGATCCGTGCAAACTAACCTTGCCGGAACCTAACTGGATTTCTCTTTTCAATTTTTGCGTAAATGAGAAGCTTAGATTGCACAGAGATTTTGAGTTATTGGGCACTTTCGTACAAGATGCGCAAATGAAGTTACCAATTTTAGCACAGTTGGTAAAGGCGACTCATCATTACCGTATTTAAATATCCTTTTGCAGTAGTAATCCTTACCACAGAAGTGGGCTCTGATTGAAATAGCTTCTGTATGTTTGTCGTAAATTAGAGTGCAGTTAAATGGGGGTTGAGATGATGAGAATGGCACAGTAAAAACATTATAATGAGATTCGATGTTTAGACTTTCTGATGAACAAATATACATGGACTTCGAGCAAAATCATAAAATTTAAGCAAACAATACTACTAATAGGACAAGAAAAGAAGCAGAAACTACATAGTAATGTTTGTTCAGTACAAATGTTTCGGAAACACTGCCTATTTGTGCACAAAGGTCGTTCTTGAATATTTATTCACATATAACCTTCAAACACTAAAGCATGTATAAGGAAAGAGCGTCTTTGTATCAGCATAATTGCCTTATCAGCCAATCCCTGTTGGTGAATGGCAATGCTCAACGACATTTCGGTTGTGATAGTTTTCAAACACGACTAGTCGTGACTGACTATCACAACCAAAAGACAAGAAGATCGGCATGCAATGAACTCGTAACACTTGTCTTGTAGCGATTGAATCGCAACGATCAAACGCTTGAACTCTGCCCAAGGCCTATAGGGTTAATGCCGCAGAATATTTATATCAATATTGTTAATATTCCCGTGCATTAGGGTGCATTTCATTGCATGAGTTATCAAAGCAATGCAGAATTTGCTCAGACAAAGTACGTTAGAGAATATGCTGCGTATACAGAGGAATACAGAGGAATACGCTATGACGGTTCAGTTTCCCTGTTGCATGGAAGTTGCCAATAGCCAGCAAATTTGGATTCATTTCTCCTACAAAAATTATGAAACTACTACTTCCTAAAATCTTGTACTGCGTCTTCATTTTACGCACTATTCAAGCCAGAAGCATCCCTATTTCTGGTACAATTTTGAACCATATCAATGATCCAACATTCTATCATTCACATTCAGTGGTACCCAAAACTTCGAAAGGAGTTGTCTCGCAGGTGAGTATAGGGCTAGGAATCAAAAAGGTATGACATCCTTTATGATACTTAGCTATAGAGATTCCAACTGCAAAGTTAAACCATAAGTCAATTTTAACAATACCTTTGAGATTTGACACCACAAACCTCATTACTTGTTAAGTTTTTCAAATCAAACTGGTCCACCACGACCATAGTAAGACGACTTCCCAGCGATCTGAAACTTTGTTCGCAGAAATCATAATCGCGACGCTTATGATGAGGCAGCAGTGAATGAGCTCTGATGTTCAGCTGCTATTAAGCTGATTGGTGTAATAGTAGCAGTTAGGTACCAAGTTCGCTATACTGTCGGTATAGGAGGGAGTTCTGGTAAAAATGTCTAGGTAAATATTAGTTGTAAGTCTGTGCTAAATTTCCAATGAAAAGACCAATCTAACTACATTCAGGAGAATGACAAAAACGACATCGACTTCTATTCAAGTGTTTTTGACGATAAAGTAAGTTTTTCGCTACTTTTTATGGCGGTATTCTTTCGGCTGTCTTGTACGCTGTTACAAATATTCCGTAAAAGCAATTCGGTATTCCGAGAGCAAAGAGCACCTTAGACTAGCTTCTTTCAGCTTGCGGAACTCGACTACGCGGGGCTGGTGAGCTAAACAGTAATTCGATAAAAGTTATAAGAGTTATCAACACGTTGCTGTGTTTGGATTTTTTGGAG